ATGCATAAGACTATCAAATCATATAAACTCAAGAAAGTAAAGAATTGTTTATATTCACAGGCACTTCTTAAATAAACTTTTTTCTGGATTTCATATTGGCAAAATCATCAATTATATTCTGAAAATCAAAATTTCTTGTTAGATCAGAATCAATGGTCAACAAGGCTTGGTTACACAATTTGTCTTGGCTCATTGTTGAACGGAGTGGTTTTTCACTTCTTTTCAAAACAGAAAAAGAACGTTCTCCTTCACAGTTAGTAGCTGGAAGTGTTAGGTAAAGGCGATACACTATGTCAACATTAGGGAAGGTTTCTGAGATACCTGCATTTCTTAAAAGTTTCAAAGCAGCTGAGGGCGCACATTTTTCAGGTGGAGCTTTAATCTGATTCATATACCCAGAAAAATGAACTATTTCTTCAACAAATGTGTCCTGAACATCTGCTGAAAGGTGTTGTTGCAACTTTAATGCAGCTTCTCTCAATTCTGCATCTGGCATAGTAGTAATTTTGACCAGAAACCCCTTTGCACTTGCACCATGTGCGCAGTCTTGGATGAGCTCCTGAACCCCTTGTACCGCGGGGCCCCCAAATGCGCGGGGCCCTAGGCAAATGCCTAGTTTGCCTATGCGGTAATCCGGCCCTGCCTGCTATTTGCGAGTCACTCTACGATTAGCGAGCCTATGTTTATACAAAAATATCGCTATGATTTCCGAAATCTACGACTCTCGAGAACAACGATTATCGAGGGACCACTGTAAGTCTCTGACTTTTTTGGGTTATCCTAGGTTCTCCAAACATTTGCTGCTAAGTATGATATTCTATGTAACTTTATTTGTATATACCTAGATAAACTTACTTATGATGCCACATACGCTTGAGTAAGTTTATTCAGGTGTACAGAAATACAATTACAGTGGACCCCCACATACCGTTGGCATCACGTAACGTTAAATCCGCATAGGGATACATTTTATCACTAAAATTTTGCCTTGCATAGCGCTAAAAAACTCGCTCAACGCTATTCGTCCAAGACGCGTCTATGTGAGGCCTGAGCCAGCCTCACATGTTCCGCCGGTGGCAATGTTTACAAGCCAGCCTCCGCAGTAACATCCAAGCATACAATCGGAGCATTTCGTATTATTATAGCGTTTTTGGTTATTTTATCTACAAAATAAGTGACCATGGGCCCCAAGAAAGCTTCTAGTGCCAACCCTGTGGTAAAAAGGGTGAAAAATATTATCGAAATACTGTGGTACCATGGTCAACTACTGATGCTGCTGCTGCTGTAGCACTGTCAGCTGCTGCTGCTGCTGCTGCTGCTGCTGTAGCACCATCAGCTGCTGCTGCTGCTGTACCACCGTCAGCTGCTGCTGCTGCTGTAGTACTATCTGCTGCTGCTGTAGCTCCGTCTGCTGCTGCTGTAGCACTGTCAGCTGCTGCTGTAGCACTGTCAGCTGCTGGTGCTGCTGCTGTAGCACTGTCAGCTGCTGCTGCTGACTTGCAAATGAGTGGATAGAGTTATCAGAGCTTATTTCTTGGGTAGCATTGAGGACTGGGTTGGGAAAATGTTTCGTTAGTGGGATGAATTGTAAAGGACCTGCCGAGCATGGGCCAACAGGCCTTACTGCAGTGATCCTCTTTTCTTATGTTCTTATGTTCATCAACCACTATCACAACTGCTTCCACTCTACCACCACCATCTTTGTATTTTTCTACAAACTTTTTCATAAATTATGTGTTTCTCACATTCTTTACCAAAGGGCTGGCACTAAAAGCTTTCTTTGGTGGTAGTGATGGTGGTAGAAGGTAGTAGTGATGGTGGTAACAGTTGTAATAGTGGTAGAAGGTCATAGTGATGGTGGTAGAGGGTTCCTTCTTTAGTGATTCAGCGATTCTACCAACTCCTCGAATGTTGTTGGAGTTATATAGGGCTACAGAAAACACCACCGCCTCAGCTGCTGCTTCACCACCATTATGGACGGCTTATTCTCAGTGGCCTTTATATACCCAACAACAACACAACACAACACAACACCTCTCATGACATCGTAAGACTTTTTTATTCATTCTAGGTATATTCTATGTTTCTTTGTTATTTAAAATTGGTTTATTTTTGTCATATTTGTTGAATTGTGATAGATAAATAAGCCATAGAGTTGTATTAGTGTCAAATTTTTCCAACAATGAATTGCCATCCCCCCCTCACACAAACAATAGCCAATAAGAAAAATAACAATTTGGAAGAACACTGAGGTCTGCTGGCCCATACAAGGCAGGTCCTTATCAAAATGACCTCTACCCAAAGCTACCCAAGAATTTATCCCGTACCCAATGACACAAATCAAAACTCAGCTCCTCCAACTCATATATTTGTCCAATCTCTTAAAGCTACCCCAAAGGGCTGCCTCGATCACCCTATGGTAAGTGTGATGTTAATAAGAACTTAAGAAAAGTAGGAACACTGGAACAGGCCTGTGGCCCTACTAGGCCGGTCCTTCAACAAATCCAACCAAATAACAGAACAAATGCTACCCAAGCAATAAACTCAGGTGCAATTCCGACTCAAATCCTACCCCTTTCACTCGTGTATTTATCCAACCTTAATTTGAAACTACCCAAGCCATAGCTTTTAGAACATTGGAAAGGAGGAACACTGCAATAAGCCTGTAGGCCCATACTAGGCTGGTCCTTCACAAATCCAACCCACTAACAGAACAAATGCTACCCAAGCAATAAGCTCAGGTGCAAGTCCGACTCAAATCTAACCCCTCTCGCTCATGTATTTATCCAACCTAAATTTGAAACTACCCAATGTTTTAGCTTCCATCACCCTAGTAGGCAGACCATTCCACTCATCAACTACCCCTATTACCAATGTTCATTTATACATTTTATTAGTGCCCTAGAGTCCTTATGGAGGGGGATTCCCCTTCCAAATAACCTCTCTTCCCTCTCTCCTCCTCCCCGTCTTCCATTCATCAACAACAGCCTTCAATAAAGGTAACTGTCATGTTGAATGTACATTCTTTTGTGCATGTAAATCTATCTTTTAGGTAAAAAATTTGTTGTTGATACTTCTGGGTGTCTGAAACGAATTAATTGGATTTACATTAATTCTTATGGGGAAAATTGATTCGAAAATCGTCCATTTCGATGATAGTCCCACTTCCAGGAACGGATTATGGACGATTATTGAGGGACCACTGTATCTTTATTTACTACACGTACATTGGATTTACATTATTTCTTATGGGGAAAATTGATTCGAAAATCGTCCATTTTGATAATAGTCCCACTTCCAGGAATGGATTATGGACGATTATTGAGGGACCACTGTATCTTTATTTACTACACGTACATGTACAAGGTACACAGGCCTAGCTGACATCAGTGACATACTACTATACGGAAAGCCGCTTGTTATGCAGAGTATTTCAAGAAAATTAGGTCAGTGTCCCAGGATAACACCCACACCAGTCCACTAACACCCAGGTACCCATTTACTGATGGGTAAACATAGACAACAGGTGTAAAGAAACATGCCTAATGTTTCTACCCTGGCTGGGAATCGAATATTTACCAAAAATCACATATGGCTAACCCAAGCCAGGTGCTAAAAACAAGCCACGTTGACTTTTTTGGGGTTATCCTAGGTTCTCTACAAATATGCTCCTATGTGTGATAATCTATAGAGAGAAAATAACTTTTTTTTTCATGTTTATGGTGCAGTACGAGTGTATATCATAGTTAGCCCTGTGCTACACTCTGTTTTTTCTAATATAAGCCCCCAAGACAAGGATAGGAGAATGGTATTTATTTACCATATCCTCTTCGTAACTCTGTCGAACTGCTCGGTGTTATGCCAAATATTATTCATTCTGGAGTATTTAACATGTTTTATGTTATTTATATTGTTTATTATGTCATATTAGATCAACTGTGATAGGCAAATAAGCTGTAGTGTTGATATTAGCGTAATAATAAAGCATATTCTCCTGCTTCATGAGACTGAGTTCATGACAACCAACAGTGGCTTCAAAGCCACCTTATCTTTAATGGATAATGTACTGTGTAGGTGCTTTACATAATGAGAAGCATTTCTTTTATTCATTGGAACCATGGCTAGGGCTAAAAATAAGCAGGTTAAAACAATAAATGGAGAAAATGAAATTCGAATGACTTATGCAGCAAGTAGCACCACCAAACAGTACCAGCAGGTTGGTGTGGCGACCTTGGAAATTTGAAATTATGCTAGCCAAAATTAGTGCCGAATAACTGAAGGAACCGAATAACTGATTGCTGGATTTGTGATGGTGGACTTGTATATAATAGAACATTACTAATACACAACATTTTTGCATATTTTTGTTGTAAACAATTATTGTAAACAAAATAATGATGAAAATATAAGTAAGTTTATTGTGTTGAATACAACAGTACCATATAGTACCATATGGTACAATGAACCATATGGTATCATTGTACTGTATCTTACAATGTACCATATGGTACCATTGCACCATATTGTACCATTGCACCATATGGTACCATTGCACCATATGGTATCATTGTATCATATGGTACCATTGTACCAAATGGTGCCATTGTAACATATTCTACCATATGGTACCATTGTATCATGTGCCATTGTTCCATATGGTACCATTGCACCTAAAGGTACAATTGTACTATATAGTACCATTGCACACTATGGCACCATTGTACCATATGGTACCATTGCACATTATGGCACCATTGTACCATATGGTACCGTTTTATTCAACACAATAACCGCACTAATATTTTCATCATTTTGTTTACAATAAACTTGTAAACAAGTTTTGTTAGCAATATAATGATAAATTAGTGCAGGTATTGTGTTGAATACAATGAGTGTACACTTATACAATATACATTATATTGGTCTCACAGGCAACAAATGTTACTAGAAAAAGAAAAAAATTAGAAAAGAAAAGAAAAAATGTAAAATAAAAAAATGCGATTTTGCAGAAGTCACTGATGTTGCCGCCACCCGGTCATTTTGGGTCAAGTTCCCGCCGTTGTATCTCGGTAAGCACTGATCAGAAATTGTTTTTTGTTTTATTATCTTCACAAAAATATTATCTTTAATTCTGTAAGAAAAATATTTTTTTTTTTTTTTTTTTTTTAAATTTCTTGGACACTGGTGCACCCCCTTCAGATTTTGGCCTTGGACCCTGAAAGGGTTAACCCTTTGAGGGTCAAAGCCGTAGATCTATGCCTTGTCCACAGGGTCCAAGCTTTAGTTCTATGTCATGAGCTCAGCTCACTCAGATAACCTGTGAGTGGTAAATGTTGGCCTAGATATGAGAGAATGGAGCTATGTGGTAAGTGTGCACCATATAAAATAAATCCTGCAGCACACAGTGAATGTTGAGAAAAAAAAAGCGACCTTGTTTTTGGATTAACCCTTTCAGGGTTTTTGACGTACTAGTACGGCTTACGCACCAGGGTTTTTGACGTACTAGTACGCCTAAATTCTAGCACCTTCAAATCTAGTGAGAGAAAGCTGGTAGGCCTACATATGAAAGAATGGGTCTATGTGGTCAGTGCGTGCAGTATAAAAAAATCCTGCAGCACAGTGTGTAATGAGAAAAAAAAAAACTTTGACCGTGTTTTCGGATTAAAACAGCGACTTTGCACTGTATTTTTGTATGGTATTTATTGTTGTATTCTAGTTTTCCTGGTCTCATTTTATAGAATGGAAGACATGTTACAGAAATTGAGGTGATTTTGACTGGTTTCACAATGAAAAGTACCTTGAAATTGAGCTCAAAGTAGCAGAAATGTTTGATTTTTACCAAAGTTCAAAAGTAAACACATCATTCCAAGCGTCCAGTACACGTCAACTGGTGAGTCTAATATTCTTTCACAAGTGGCTGATATTATTTATACCATTTCTACACTAATGCAGTAGTCTGCATAACAGTAAATCTTCAATTTTTTGTAAGAATAAAAATTCAAAGTGGATAGTAAAAGAAATGTAAGAGGGACCTGGGGACATGACTAACGAACAGAGAACTTGTTATTTTAGTGCCAGGAATGTCTTTCTTGTTTATTCTGGTCTCTATTTTGAAATTGGCATCTTTTGAAATTTGTGTGAAATTGGCAAAATTGACAATTTCTAACCACTTTATTGGATAGTTGAAATTGGTAATTGAGTGGTTTCTTGTACTCCTTCGATAGAAAAAGTGGAGTTCTAGTGAAATAAATATGACTAGTAGATAGGAATTGGCCAAAAGTAGGGCTCAAAGTAGGTGGAATCGCCAATGCGTAAACATTGGCAAGACCGCTAACTTCGCGATAGCATAATTCTGTAAGTTTTCCATCAAATTTCATACTTTTGGTGTCATTATGATCAGGAAAAGATTCTCTATCCTTTCATAAGAAAATATCATTTTTTTTTTTTTATGAAAAATTTTCGACACTGAGAACAAGTTTAGGGGAGGGCCTCTCGACCCTGAAAGGGTTAAAACACCGAGTTTGCAGTGTATTTTCGTATGGTTTTTATGGTTGTATTCGCTGTTTCTTGGTATCAGTTGATAGAATGGAATATATATTTTGACTGATTTTAGTACTAAAATGACTTGAAATTGAGCTTAAAGTAGCAGAAATGTTCGATTTTTGCCGATGTTCAAGAGTAAACAAATGACATCATGCATCCAGTACACGTCAACTGGTGGGTCTAATATTTGTTCACAAATTTGCTGATATTATTTATACAACTATTACAATATTGCATAACAGTAAATCTTGCATTTTTTGTGTGTGAATAAAAATTCTTTATGTAAATAAAAAATCTAAATGGAATTCATCTGTAAAGCCTGGAAACATAACTGATAACCAGAGGAAATGTTATTTTAGTGCCAGGAATGGCTGCATTGTTTATTCTGGACCCTATTTTGAAATTGGTATATTTTGAACTTTGAAATTGGCCAAATTACCAATTTCTGAACACTTTATTGAGTAATTGAAATACAGTGGTGCTTCGCATTTTGGCCATAATTCATTCCAGAAGGCTGTTCGAGTGCTGTTACTGAATGAATTTGTTCCCATAAGGAATAATGTAAATTAGATTAGTCCGTTTCAGACCCCCAGAAATACACTTACAAAAGCACTTACAAAAATACACTTGCATAAGTTTTCAAGTTGGGAGCTGTTTGAAATTCAAGGTACCACTGTACTTGATTGGGCATTTTTTTGTGCTCAATTGATAAAATAAAAGTAATAATAGCGAAATAGCTCAGAATTTGGTTGACTGGAATAATGTAATTGGCCTAAAATTGGAGTCAAAGTGGGCAAAATCACCGATGCACAAATATAACTGATGCAGTAAAATGTGCAATAGTGTAATTTTGTCAGTTTTCCATCAAATTTCGTACTTTTTGTTTTATTACCTAAAGAAAAAGATTCTGTACCATTTCATAAAAAAAAATAAATTTTTTTTTGGAAAATTCTTGTACCCTGTGGACAAGCCGTGGAACTATAAGACAGACCCTAAAAGGGTTAACATATTCATAATTAAATCTTCATTTCGTGACCAATATTTTACAAAGAAACATGAGCCCACACATCCATAAAATTATTATACACAAATTCTGAATGCATTTGCAGAAAAATAAAAGAAAAATTATTTTCTAAGATAATCTGTTTAAATGTGACCAATATTTGTGTCTGCAGATTAGAATCTACAGTAAATTAATTGTCTCCAAAGCACTGAAATCATCAGTGCAGATATTCTTAACTTTATTAATTGTATGCCTGAGATTTAACATTAATGTTGCATTCTTTACTTTTGCAGTTGTTCATCTCAAGAGAAGCATTACATTCACAAAGCCAGCAATACTACAATACAAGTAATACTACAGAACCAGATAGTCTGCAGGAATAGTGTGAGCAGTGTACTAATATTGACCACTTCAACAATAATACATCCTAAGTGTCTTCACTTGTATCATAAAGCTCACTTTATTATTCTGGCAGTTACATCCATATCCTCAACATCCAGTGGTCATTAGTTTCTTACTGTACTTGTAGTACTGTACATGCATCCACATCCTCATCCTTATCATCCAGTGTGCTCTGCTTAATGTATACACTCACACATCCACATCCTCATCATCCAGTGTGCTGTTATTAGCGTACATGTCTATTTTGATACTGTGCTGCTGATTTTCAAAAGATTCTATTGAGAAAATAAATGTTGATAATGTGTAAAAACTTGTAATCACATTTGTTTCTACTATTGTCAACTTTATGCTGTCTTTTATCTTCTTTATCAAAATAAGGAGATGAATATTTTTAATATTGTATATACTAATGGAATTAGGAACTATATTTCGAGCTGGATAAACACAATAATTGCCAGTAATATGAAGTCTTTTGAATGGAAATTATTGAAGTTTTATTAATGAATGTTTTTATTTAATTTCCAAATTTATTATCTCCTTCATAAACAATAACGACCTATCATTAGTGTATTATGAACTCAGAGATAATGTTCACTACAGCTATAATGTATTCTAATCTCTTCCATTAAACACAAAATTTTTTGTGGGAGAAACTAGTTTAAAAATATTAATGTCGATAATTTGGTGGGAGAGACATGAACGTGCATTGCTGAGATACATTTTAGGCTCCTCCTGACAGATACACATAGATCTTCATACATCTCTAACCTTCATATTTTCCACATCAGCTAAGTCATACACTGGCAATGTAAATCATATAGTGGCCATTTTATATTAATATATATAGTTCATAGGCAGCCCAGAGGTAACAAAGGGGTTCCTGGTAGTATATACAGAACATTGTAACCCAAAACTACTGCTACATAGTTTTAACCTTGTACTAATTTTATTTGTGACATTTTACTTAATCATAACAGGAAGTTAATTTCTTACCCAGTATTAATCCCATATATTTGTTAAACATTACAGCAAGTTTATATTTTGTCTTAAGTTTTAACATCATTTCAATACAAGTCTAGTGATAATTATTTTTCAAATCTAAAATTAGTACATTGATATCCCCATGAATACTGTGCTAACTTGTTGCTGCTAAATTGTAACCTCAATCATTCACATGTTCTAATGTATTTTAAATTTAA